TAATCAGCCCCACCAATCCCACCGCACCGGTTCTCCCTCTAATTTCAGAACCTACCCCGCCGCCGCCACCACCACCGCAAACCCACTCCGAGTCTTCTTCTTCGTCTAATACTTCACAAAGCTTCACTCAATGGAGATTCTCGCACACACCCATCTCAACAACCAATTGCCTGACAGATACGTCTCCTGAAACAACACAAATACACTACCAATCACCGGCACCACCACCGCCTCCACCTCCTGTTGTTATCTCAGACCTTCAGGAGCTTTTCCATGTAGCTGAGCTTCAACTGAGCACGGGTCTTGACTCCGACAGAGTCAAAGCTATTTACATGCTTCAGCATTCTTTGGTTAACCCACGCGCTGCGGCAGAAGGCGGAGAATCGGTGTCTTGTCCGCCGGCGGTAATGAGAGGAGTGTTGGGTTGTTTGAAGGATAAACAATTGGCGAAACCGGCGACGAGGGTGTTGTTGGCGCTTTGTTTAGGGGAGTGTAATAGGCATGTGGCTGTAGAGGAAGGGGCGGTGGGGAAAGTTGTGGAGGCGTTGGTGGATTTGGACGGTGGTGCAGTGGCGGAGAGGGCATTAGCAGCGTTGGAACTTCTTTGTACGGTGGCAGAGGGGGCGGCGGAGCTGAGAGCACATGCGCTGGTAGGGCCGATGATGGTGGAGGTGATGAGGAGGATGGAAACCACCAGGGGTAGAGAGAATGCTATCGGGATATTGGCGGTGATATTCGGTGGCACCGGTAGTGGAGATGCAATGGGGTTTGCACCGCAGGAGGAGGTGGCGCGTGTGGTGATGCTGGCGATGCAAGGAGCTTGTAGTGCAAGAGGGAGACGAAAAGGGGCCCAGCTGTTGAAGATACTTCAAGAAAATGAACGGTTAGATTTGAGCCAAGAAGTGGGATGAGTGGTCCTGATTACATCTGGAATAATGAAACAAAATTAATGGTCAAAGTGAGATTTCGAGTCATGTAATTTGTTAGACCAATTATGGGAGACGACATTGTTTTTATTGTACTTTTCTTCTTTTCGAAATAAACAAATATATTAAATAATTTCAAAGTACTTGAAAGTTGAAGCCATTATTGATCTTCACTCCAAGTAGTGAATACAACGAAAATCTCTATAATGTGCACTCATACATATCTACTACATGGACATAATACATATCTACTACATGGACATAAGAAGCTACTAGGAAAACAACTATATGATAACTTAAACACTTACTAAAAAACAGTGAGCAGGCACAAAAAAAATCAGACATGTTTAGTGACACAATTTATTAAAAGGATAATGATTTGAAAGGGTAACGAACTTTCGATTTTTGTCACATTTAGTTACTAAATTTTTTTTTCGTTATTTATTTGCCATTGAATTATTGAAATTGTTCACATTTTACCCTTATAACCGACTGTTACCGGTCATAAGGGTAAAATGTTAACAATTTCAATAGTTTAGTGGCAAATAGATAATGAAAAAAAGTTTAATGACTAAATGTGAATAAAATCGAAAGTTCATTTCCCTCTAAAAAGTTCAATGATTAAATGTGAACAAACTTCCTATTGTATTATGTTTTAGCAAAATTATTTATTTTTGTTCAATTGTAGCAACATTTGTTGATGAAGAAATCTATGAAATAAAAAAACAAAATGTATCATCCGGATTTCCAAGTATCATCATTTAAGTATTTTTCTTTTGAGTTAAGAAGAGAGACTCGACGAGTTGACGTCTCAACTCGTCGAGTAAGGTCGCGACTGATGACTCGGATTAATGAATGGACTCGACGAGTCGGTGAGGCGACTCGACGAGTCCGCGCTGTTGGCAGAAACCCTAAATCTTTGGGCTCGAGCCATATTCAAAGGCACTTATGGCCTTCAGTTGCGACTACCTTTCCCATAAGTTAGAACCCTAGCGAGCTTGAGTGTGTAGAGTGAGAGGAAGAGCTATCTTGAGCTTTTTGGTGTGATAGATCTGGACCCTTCTAGGTCCAGAGAGCCGAGAATATGAAACTTTAGTAGAGTAAACCTTGGGGTTCAAAGTTAGGAAGCATTTATGGTATATATAGTTACTTTCATTTTACACATAAATATGTATTTTATATAAATTATGTGCTATGTGTGAATATTATTTGAATACTTGCTGTCTATGCTGGATGAACGATTTTATACATATTTTAAAAGATTTAAACGGTATATTTATTTTATATCTACAAATATGTTGCGGATGAAACATGGGTAGATGAAATAGCTGGTGTGTGATTAAATAAAATGATGAGAGATAGGTGATGATAGACAGCTGGTGATAATTAGGTAAATAGATGATGATAAATATGTGATGTAGGATGAAAGGAGATACCATAACCTTTACCAGCAATGTGGCGATGTAGTCATCTACCAGGGTATAGATGGCGACCACGGACTATTCTAGACAACCCAGTGGAAACACCAGCAGACCCATAACCTGTAGGTGATGAATTACGAGTTCAGGCGATGTTGTAACTACGTATTCATGTGATGATACTCTAACCCTTTACTATGAATTACGATTTCAAACGATGTTGTAACTACATATTCATGGGATGTCACAAATTTCGCATGTCAAACCAATGGTCATAATTCACATTAGTGAGAATGGTTCATTTTTTTGTAAAACCAAAATTAGATTGGAAATTTTGATTTTTTATTTTGGAAAATGTCAAACCATTGGTTTTTTATTTTGGTTTTGGTTTTTTGTTTTTTTTTTAAATATATTTTCAGGGTTTTGTTTTGTTTTGTTTTTTTTTTATTTATTTATTTCATAGATTTCTTTATCAACAAATGTTGCTACAATTTAACAAAAATAAATAATTTGCTACAACATAATACAAGAGGAGGTTTATTCACATTTAGTCATTGAACTTTTTAGAGGGAAACGAACTTTCGATTTTGTTCATATATATATATATGTATGTATGTAGAGAAAGAACACGATAAATGAAAGCTTTACATGCCTTTACAACAATAAACTTTATAATTACTCATTTCTATCAATTTTCCTCCAATTTGTTCATGTTTACTACCTTATTTTAATTTAACTTTAGATAAACCGTATTCAATTCCCCATAGACAGAGAAACATTGTATTGATTCAAAGTTGTACATTAACGTATGATTTGATAAGAATCTAACGGTGAATTTAACTCAATATAATGACAGGAACTTAGTATCAACTCAATATACTTGATCGTTGCTGTAAACTCTTTGTACATTAGTAGTTATATAACAATAAGAACATACAAATTATAATGGGTAGGTGTGTCACTTGAAATTATCAACAATACTTTACTAATTTAAGTTTTATCAAGTCTATCTGACCATTTTCTCCTTACTTGCATACGATCGGCTTCTCAACTACTTCTTTAGGTAGGAAAGACGGGGCCTCATCAAATGCCTGTGGTTTGTAATCTTTAAACTTTTCAATATCACATTTATCCATAAGTATTTTGTCAATCACCTCTAGCACAAAAGGTTTCTAATCTCTTAAATATCTTGCTTACCAAGTAAATATAGATCAAAGAGAAGAATATAAACTCAAGGTTGTTAAGATCGGGATTCTAAGTAGAATCGTTTGTGGGTTTGTAAGATCGGGATCGGATCCTAAGATCCCACAAAATAAAATATAATTTTAAAACATGAAAAGTATTTCAAACATTTAATTTTCCATTCAAAATATTCATAAGTCACAACACAAAATGATAAACGGTAAATTGATAAATGGTAAAAGACATAAAAGTGGTAAAAAAAATTTATTTGTATACATACATATATATATATATATATATATATATATATATATATATATATATATATATATATATATATATATATATATATATATATATAAGTCCTTTATTTGTTTGTGTATCAATCAGATCCGTTTGATGGTGCGGAATCCCAATCAAACGGATGATGTCAGATCAAATAAAAGAGAATGAGAAGAAGAATAATATGAATCTCAATGTATTGATAAATAGAATGATGATCCGGATACAAGAGATTCACACACACTAACACACATTTATTCTTCTCTCTCTCTAGGCCGTACACTCCTTTTTGTTCATCAATCTACTCCTCACCCTTTACACCTATATTTATACTTGGAGAATGTGGGCCTAATGGGTTTACGGTCGTAAATGAGTTTACGGCCGTAAACAGACCATCTGACCGTAAACTTATAAACATTACATAAAAATACAATTTCCTAGAAAAGTAAAGTATAAACCATATTTTTGACCCAACAAATACACACACACACACACACATATATATATATATATATATATATATATATATAATCATGGGAAGGTAGGATCGGATCGGATTCCGATCCTACGATTGTACCTACGATTTTATGATTCTACATGCGATCCTACCTCAAATACGACCTGACTCATTTTTTATACCTACGATCATAGGATCGTACGATCCTATGATCAAAATCGCGATTTTAACAACCATGAATAAACTATTAGGAGCAAAAATAATTACCTTTTCTCGGTTGCTTTAGCATTGCACTTTTCCCAAAGAATTCATATAAAAAAACCCTGTTTACCTCAATTTCATGAATGGATTTTATGAAATTGATTTCATGAATCAATCCATAGAATCGAATAAAGAGGAAGAGGACCGTGGTGATGGAAGGAAAAGCGACCGATTGAAGATGATGGAGAACCTGGGCAAGTTCGTCAAGTTAATATTATATATATATATATATATATATATATATATATATATATATATATATATATATATATATATATATATATATATATATAAAGAGGAAGAGGACCGTGGTGATGGAAGGAAAAGCATTGCACTTGTTAATTAATATTATATATATATATATATATATATATATATATATATATATATATATATATATATATATTGAAAAACATATTTCTAACGTAAATGAATAATTTTCAAATATATTCAAACTAAAGAAATATTATCACACTACATAATGAATACAATATAAAAACAAGAATAATGAAATAACAATAGAGTTGTTCAATCATTAAAAATAGTATAAACACCACATAATGAATAATGAAGTTTACATAAAAACATGGAATAAATTAATTGTTGGCACGCCCTGAACTCCAATCAGTAAACATGGTATTAACAAGAAGATCTCGACGGTCAGTCCATCCTTGTTAGGTCTCCACGGTAGAAATAATGTTGTCATGTTCGTCTCCAAATTGGGTGTGATTTGTAGGGATTTCTTGATCAAGGGGGTCTTCCGTTATGTTTGTACGTATGAAGTTATGCATCAAATAACATGCAATGATTATGTGTTGCATAAATTCTATTGGATGGTATGCATTATCACGTAAAATATCCCATCCAGGTTTAATCAATCCAAAACATCATTCTATTACGTTCATTGCTGATGAATGTCTCATGTTATATAAATCTTTAGCATTTGTAGGAGGTCGAGACCAATCGTTAAGATGGTAACGTTGCCCACGATAAGGTGTTAAAAAACCTCTACCATTTGTATAACCAACATCACAAATGTAGTATGTTCCTACAATAGATTCTACATATTTAGTTAGACTGTATTGATAATATTATGTAGCTTTATGTTTTATGTATATCATACCATGGGGTATTTTAAGACCATGTGGTCTACTAATAGCATCTTGGAGTACTCAACTATCTGCTGCGGAACCCTCCCATCTCGCTAGTACATATATGAACTGAAGATCTCTCGAACACCCTCCTAGTACGTTAGTACAAAGCTCACATTTGCGTATTCGAAAAGGTTTTCTCTTTGCTGCAGGGACTTTAACTTTGATATATGTTCCATCTAATGCCTCTAGGCAACCCTGTACATAAAACAAATTCTTTAATTAATATTGGAATTAAATAAATTTATACTAACTAATTACTAACCTTAAACCACCTCCACCTCTCATCGGTTTCGTCATCAGGTATTGGCACAGTTTTCTTGTAGAATTCTATATGTAATCGACATACCGCATCTAAAACTACCTTGAAATATCGCCTTACAGTTTCACCTGACCTTTTGAATCTTTTTACTATAATCCTATTTTTTTCGTTTTGTACAAGTACATGTAGGAACATAGCAACTTGCTCGTCAACTAACATGTTTTTGCTATTTTTCAACCCCCCCCCCCCCCCCTTTTGTTCAAGCATGTCACATAGTATTGTAAATGCATTTCTATTCATTCTTATGTTAACCACACTTGTTTTTATCACTTTTATAAACCATATCGTGAATACTATCATGTCCATTATGGTAACTCATTAAGTATTTTACCCGAAATATTGTAACTTTTTCTAAATGATTCATTGCAAAATCATAGATCATCCACCAACGAATCATAACATACATTGCATAAAATGCTCTTACGGCGGATGTCCTAACAATTTGTCTATTTCTTACAATCTGTTGTTGCAAAGGTGTTTGTGTCATCTACGTATATACAAACAAGGAAGAGTTAGGACAAAAAAGCAAATAAAAAATGATGAAATATTGTACAAAAATCCTAAGAGCCAATGTTTGGAGTTGTATAACTCAGCCAAAACCAAACCAAATAAGCTATTTCTTAAGACTAAAATGTAGACAAGACAGGGGACTACAATCTGGAAAAAAAATTCGCCTCATTCCGAGTTCGTATGAAGATTTTATGATGGTTCAAAGTTGGACAAAAAATTCTTAGAAGTGCTGAAATATTATGCAATAATCTTAACAGCACCTGTTTAGGGTTGTATAACTCAGCCTAAGCTTATCTAAATAAGCTATTTTTTATTCTAAAACATATACAAGATAGTGGACTACAAACTGGGAAAAAAAATACCTCATTCCGAGTTAGTATGAAGATTTTATGACGGTTCAAAGTTGCAGAAAATATTCTAAAAAGTGTTGAAATATTATGCAGTAATCTTAATAGCACATGTTTAGGGTTGTATAACTCAGCCAAACTTAACCAAATAAGTTATTTCTTGATTCTAAAGTGTAGACAAGACAGAAGACTACTATCTAGAAAAAAAAACGTATCATTCCTAGCTAGTATGAAGATATTATGATGGTTCAAAGTTAAGAAAAAAACTAAACAATGATGAAATATTAGACAACATCTCTAACAACCCCTGTTTAAGGCTGTATAACTCAACCATATCTTAACCAATTAAGTTGTTTTTTAATACTAAAGTGTAGACAAGACAAAGGACTACAATCTAAAAAAAATGCCTCATTCCAATCTCGTATGAATATTTTTTGATGGTTCAAAGTTGGAAATGGCAATCTAAAAAATCTGAAATTGTAGTATTTTTTGTGTGGCTTTTGTACATACAACTGAAGCACAAACAGTAAGAAATGACAATCTGTCATATCATTCAACACTAAACTACAAGCTTCAAACTCCAGATTTCAATATAGCAAGATTCAAACATGTACAAAGAAGAGATTCATATAGAATTCAGAAACACAATTCTTGAACTAGAACTCAAAAACATATTTCATAGCAAGATTAACTAGAATCGTTTAGTCATACCTTGTATTGAAGAATGTGGTGAAAAAATCGACAAGAATAGGCAACCCAGAGATCGTAAGGTCGTGAGGCTGTGTGAAGTCGTGAGACTCGGTGAAATTGAATATGTAGTAGGGTAAACGAGAAGACAACATGGGCTGATTTCATGAAATTGGGATGAAATCTTTGAATAAAATCCGATTGCATTTATGTAAGAGGGTTTGAATGGGGGTAGAGATGGCAAAAAAACCCGTACCCAATGGGTACCCGAAACCCTAACCCGAGTTGACCGGATAAATCCCCGAGTTGACCGGGGATGGGGATGGTTCTACCTGTCGGGTACCCATACCCGTACCCGAAACCGGCCCCGATGGGTACCCGATATATATATATATATATATATATATATATATATATATATATATATATATATATAGTATTAATTATGTTTTTAATTTTAATAATGCATAAGCAAATGTTCAGTAGACAAAATAAGGTTTTCTAACAATCAAACGTATAGTTTTGGGAAGAATTGTTATGTCTTTTTTTGCAAAGAATGATTTAATTTGTAACCTTGAATGTTATTGTTCATGTTTGAAGACATTCAGTGATTATAGTGTTTTATATTAGTTCGGTTAGTTTTGTTTTGTTGGTTAATATATAATTATGAATTATTTTTCATAAAAGTTCATAACTTTGTAACGGGGAAAAATCCCTGATTACCCATTGGGGATGGGGATGGGGATAGATTTCTAATCCCCGATGGGGATGGGGTTGGGTATGGGGATGGGTATGGGGATGGGAAACACGAAACCCGGTATACCCGTACCCATTGTCATCCCTAAATGGGGGTGAGATTGATTTCTCCACTTTTTTTCCGATTCTCGTCCTATGCGTGTGTTTTATTTCTCCAATTTTCTCTATTTTTAATAGTGAATTGTTTTGATGGAAAAGGAATTGATTTATTTCTCAATTCATTCCTTTTTTTTATTAACCAAACAAGGGAAAAGGAATCTATTCCTTTTCTCTGATTGTATTTCCCTGTACCAAACAGCCCCTTAGTATTGATGTTCGTTGTGATGATTATAACATCAATGTCTTCTCTGACTTGTAATAACATTAAATGGTTGTTTAATATGTTTTTTATTGGATCTAACAAGAGTTTGGGTTTGATTATGTTAGATTTTAACTCTAATGTCCCAAAACTATTAAGGTAAAAATTTTAAAAGAGTAAATTAATGAAATCGTCCCTATGTTTTGGTTAAAATTGCATGTTTGGTCCCTAACTTTTTTTTTTGCACTCGGATCGTCCCTGTGGTTTGATTTTGTTGCGTTTTTCATTCCTATGGTTTGGTAAGAATTGCATGTTTGGTCCCTAACTTTATGTATGTAAGGGACGAAAAATGCAACAAAATGAAACCACAGGAACGAAAACGCAACAAAATCAAACCATAGGGATGATCCGAGTGCAAAAAAAAAGTTAGGGACCAAACGTGCAATTTTGACCAAACCACAAGGACGATTTTAGTAATTTACTCTTTTATTTTTTTAATTCAACTATAAACACCATTTAATCATTTCAATCATTCAAAAGTATATTAGAGTAAAAATAGTTATTAGCGTACAATTCCAAAATCATAAAGCACAGAAATATGGGTGGATGAGTTGCGATCAAGTCGGGTCCTTCCCTCTCGAACCGGGAGTACCTGAAAACATTTTAAACATAACCGTAAGCACAAAGTTTAGTGATTTCTCTCAAAATACCACATACCATACATATCAAACATGCAGTAGGTCATGCCTAACAGCCATCGGGCCCCGCCCCGCATCGAGCCCCGGTCAAAATAGATCTACTTGTATCATGTGATGGGTCGGGCCCCGCCCGACATATATACAATACATACACACATGCAAGGTCATACAAACAACTAGCATACATATAACCATAATCCATGGTTCGGCATTGGTGCCTTCGACCTGCTAAGCATTGGGAGGAAACTCACCTAAATCCACTGATAACCAAATAACTGCCCGGGTCGCTAAACCGGATAATCTCGCACTAACTAACAATAAATACAACCCTAATTAATAATTAAGATAATACCCTACGAACGATTCAAATGTTCCAAAAATGGGCAAAATACCATTTTACCCCAAATAAGTACCAAGCCAATCTACAGTTGACCTAAAATCAATAGGTCAAAAAATGTCAATGGAGTCAAACAACTAAGTACGCCCAGCGTACTCAATTTATCCCCAGCGTACGCCGCCTTTGGCTAGTATGCACTGCATATGAGCTGGTTACACCCAACGTACTTCATAACACTCCAACCTTACCATTAAGTGCTTAAATGGTTAAGCTACTAAGTCTACTTCTAAAATCTAATCCTAAATAATGTCTTAACACGTAAAGTTGGAAACTTTACTACTTTGCATGTCTTAATGGGACCCAATACTTGTTTTTATCCATCTAAATCCATAATATGAACACCAACTCTTGCATGGTTCATCAAAATCCCTCAAGGTGACATTTTTGTGACTTAATGACCTCAACAAAGACCAATATGAGGCTCAAAGGTTCTGGAGTAACTTCTACTCACAAGAATCACAACCATGGGACCAAAACATGACAAATCATAACACAAATGAAACATCCCAAAAATAAGACCCAAAATTTTTTGTTTTAATATTACTAAAAATCACATCATCAAATGTCATATATACTAAGAACCATAGGATGAATAACTCAAAAGTCAAAGCAACTATGTCAAACACAAACTATATCAATCGTATCAAAATATATGAATAAAATCCCTAGGATAAAACTGAGTATGTGGTGTGTGCGATGCCATCATCTCGAGCTCTTCCCCTTACTAGCGAAAGTACCTGAAACCAAAACTAAAATTGTAATCACGAAGCTTAGTGAGCTCCCCCGAACTACCACATACCATACAATAACATATAAACACATACTGGGCCTTGTCCACTGCATCATATCGAAATCCAGAAACTGCATCGAACCAAAGTCCGAAAACTGCATCGGACCAAAATCCGGAACTAACCCGGGCCTTGCCCTCTTCATTAGACCGAAGTCTGGAAACTAACTGAACATAGCATAGCATAATCATAACTACTAGCATAAACATATATGTTGCATACTGCATAGGACCGAGGTCCGGAGCACATAACACAAAGACATGCTTGAATCACAAAGACATCAAGTACACTGATCTACTGCATCGGACCAAAGTCTGGAACTACTGCTGACTAAACGGGCCGACATTGTGTCCGTAGACCCGTTCCTACTGGAAGTAAACTCACCTAGCAACGCTAGCTGCTGAGATGCTAGATCTGAAACTGTCTGACTGCTGCTCCAGAACTCCCTGGCTACAAATCCCATAAACACTAAATCAAATACTGATAACTAATCTCAGGGTAAAATGACTATTTACCCCTAGTCAAGTCAACTTCCAGGTCAAAGTCAAGTTTCAGTTGACTAGACTCGCCGAGTTGGGCCACCAACTCGCCGAATCCCCATCAACCATTCTAATCCTCTACTCGCTTCTACTCGTCGAGTTTGGAAAAGACTCGACGAGTTCTTCTTTGATACTAACACCGAGTCTAATTTTCATCCGACTCGCCGAGTTTTATGAACAACTCGTCGAGTTCCCCTTCAACATAAGAACACACCCAGTCTTTGACTCGCTGAGTCGTATGAATAACTCGTTGAGTCCGACTGCTTCCAGATCCAAGTCTTAACTCACTGAGTCCTTACTCTACTCACTACACAGGCTCGCTACTATTGAACCGGGAAACTAAGACTCGCGACCTGACTCGTAGAGTCAGAAGGACGACTCGTCGAGTCCTTAGCATGCAGATTCCATACAGTCAATCCTAATCAACTTTAGTGCATCCAATTCGTAGATCTAAGCTTCTGGGACTATCTGAACACGTAAAGTTGCTAAATTTATGTGTATCAAAGATGCAATGAAGCAATAACACTCATACTTTGCTATTATGGAAGGTTTCTTGACTAAAACAAA